TGTTTTGTAATTACTTTGTGTTGGCACTTGAATAAAAGAGTTAAACATTTCAGCACAGTATGTTGCTTATGGTTTTTACTTATGAATTAAGCGAAACAAAGTTATTCAATATTAGTCACAAAGAGCCAATGCAAATTCCACATAATATGTAATCCAACAAAAGCATTATAAAATGTTATTATTCTCAAAACAAATGTGAGAGCAAGCAAATGTCTGTGGGTGGCTTGGTGGGGCTGAGAGTCATGAACACTTCTGGAAAAACAACTGCAAGTGCATTTCTAACAGACGATGGGTCATTCTCTGCAATTTTTTAAGCATAGAAAAGCACATTCTTTTTTTCAGGGCACACACATTTTGAAGCCTGGATACCTAATCAAAGGACTTGTTCCTAAAGAGGGCACCAAATGACCCCTCCAGATTCATTTCTTATGGTGATAAGAAAGCTGCTGATTTTGCTTTTTGCTCCCAACAGAATCACTAAACTAAATATGAATGATTCAATAGGGGAAAAAATTAAATAGTACTGGCATGAAGGACTACTAACCACCTCAATTTAAAAGAAAACAACAGTGCCACGTCATGCCAAAAGAACTTAACCCATGTTACCACTGTTTCTAATATAATGAAGACTAATGTTTTCTCTGGCTGATAATCAGGACTAGTAAGCACAACCAATTTACACTATAACTTACAAAATAAAAAAGCAATAGGTTTACTAAATATCCTAAAAATTTCTTCTACTCTTAACCAAAGAAAGTGCTATGTTCCAAATGAACTCCTTAGCCATCTAATTTCATACGATGTCAGAGCTGGAAAAGATCCTAGCAAATATCCTTCCTAAGAGCCTCATCTTACACATGGGAAAGCCAAAGATCAGTAAGGTTAAATGATTTGACAAAAGTATACAGATAATTAATGGCAGAACAAAGGTCAAATGTAATGTTGAACCATTACCCTTGAAGGAATCCATTTTGATTAATTTTCCTAAATAAACTGACACAATACATAAGTCTGATTTGTGGATCAGTCTATTATTTTGAAACAAAGGACGACTTTAAATGTTTTCAAATTGCCATCTTTTCTATCATATCATTGTTTAATTGCAAAATTGACTATTCTATTGGTTGAAGGAAGCTGACTTTTCTCTGAATGCCAGTAAAATTGAGAATCCTTACCATTTTTCCCAGTGAAACAGTAATCCTAAAATGAATGTGAATAAAAACAGAAAGAGAACTAAATCTTTAATGTAAGGTCTGGAATATTTCCTCCCTGAATTCTAGGTATAATATTTCTACTTCTATCTCTTGTTTGGATGGCGCTTCTGATGCTGTCAAGACTATGAAGACGACAGACCACAGTCCTTCTCATTTTATTTATTCACCAAGCTCAATCAGTAAGAGTCTTTAAAATCACTGCAACATAAACTAGTGTCTCAAAACCCCTGGCAATTTTGTGATTATATATTTATTTATGTGATCATTTGATTAATGTCTGCTGAACCCACCAGACAGTAACCTCCTCGTAGGCAGGGTATGCATCTTTTCAGTATTGCATTTCCAGCTTGTAACACAGGAGGCTGGAAAACTCAAAATTTTGATATACTGTTTTTTTGAATGGATGCATCCCTTTAAAGTGTGGCGGCCAGATCAGCAGTCTCAGGTTTACTCAGATACATGTTAGCAACACAAATTTGTAGACCTCACCCCAATAAGACTCCACTACTGCTGAATCTAAAACTCTGAGTCTGGAGCCCAGCAATCTGTGTCTTAGCATTCCCAATGATTCTGATATATGCTAACACTTGAGCACCACTATAATAATAAATGAATACCACTTACCCAGCCATGAGTTTCTGCTTGCTGGCCAGCAATACATCCCTAGAACTCTGTTGATTCCTTCACTGAAAGCAAAGGCTAATCACTAACTATGGGTAGCTACACAAACCTGGCATGAAATAATGTTGGAAGACAGCAAATCACTCTCTGGATGTTGAGGGAAAAACAAACTGACCCAGCTTCTAGGTGTTGTATTCTTATTAGATTATATCCTTTTCTACAAAATCTAATAAATCCTCTCTCCTTTGAGACAACTGAACTGAGTTCTTACTGCTCACAACCAGGTAAGGAATTTGTCTATACTGCTTAGGAAGGAGTGATAACCTAGACACAAGGGCTGGTACTCCTATCTCTGGTGTCTTAGACACATAGATTTTACCCTCTCAGTAATGCATACTCTAGATATAATCAAGGGGGGGGGGGAAGCTGGACTTTAACTTCCTGATAGTCTTACCTATGCAAATTTAGAAAAAAGGTTTCATTCTCCTTAAGCCCTTCAGCCACCCGGTAAATATTCATTAATACCCAAGCTGAAACCTAATTTTTTTTCTTGGAGCAAGTCAAGTCCAACTGGAAGATACTGTCATTGGCCTTTATCTCTTTAGAAGGTTCATAAACACTAACCAGAAAACCTGTTAGCCTATAGAGGAAACTTTCTGCCTCTTTAACTAGTTAATAAACCCACCACATATCTAGCCACTTGCCACTTATAGTATACTTCTCTCCTGATTTTCAACAACTGATTGTATTGAATTTCAGTGAATTGCTAAAAGGCTTGATATATGTTTCTGTCATTTTTCTCTTCCACGTCATTGAAACTTTCAAAATAATTTGGCTTGAGACAGAAAGGTCAGCATCCTTGAAAGATGATTTAATAATATATTAATAAATATGCATATTAGATTTAACTTGTCAAATCAAAAACTTCAAAAGAAAATCCACAACAAACATGTATCATTTATTTTAGTTGCATTTATTAGGGAGAGCACTGGCTAAGGAAGTAGATTCTACTATTTCTGAGTGGGCTAAATTGGTTTGAAATAATCTCTGTATGTTCCCTTTTTATTTTCTCCCCAACTCGTCCAATAGAAACAACCAGGAAAAAAAATAAGCCATATTTCTTGTGGTTCTGTTTTATCCCTTTTGTTACTTTGTTTTATTTTATATAGAACCTGAAAGTCTCTGGAAAAGGGTAATGTCTGTTTGTTACAGATCATTTTTAAAATTCCATTTTGAATATTCCTAAAAACATTTACACACAAAGATACATCAAATTCCTAGGTATATTGTCTTTTAATGGTTTTAGAAATTCCATTTATGATTAGGTCAGCATAAAGTCATAGATACCAGATAATATAGGAGCAAATAAATACATCATGGGCAACAATTTCATCACTTAAGAAATCAAACTGGTGAACTGTTTTCAAACAATGTTAGCAGAAAGAGTGTTTTGCTTATATTACTGTGAAGTTATGGATCATACTTCTGTGCTTGGTCTTCATTAAAAGCAAATCTGCTGATCTGGGCTTTCAAGTGCATAATTTGTAACTGTGTGATTATTTACCAGAGAGACACTTATTTAGCTGACTGGGCTGAGGCTAGACTCACTCGTTCTCATCAGCCCCTCTATACTTGTGCCATTTCACCCTTGGACTGATATCACATCAGTCAGTGTTGTTGTGTAAATTGAATTTTATGCTTTCAAATATTATAGGACTAAAGTAACGTGATGTATAAGGAATTGAAAAAGAAGACTGATCAGAAATGGGTAACAGATTTTTAAACATTATGAGTAGTGTGAACTATATTACATTCCATTTATTTCAACACTTTGCTCCTTTCATAGCCAGTATTCCTTCAGGTAATACATTTAAGGAATAACATAATCTAACAATGCATTTGAAGACTGGGATCTACCACTGTTAATTGAAGTGGCTAGGGTAAGGCTCCAGGATATAATAAAGACCTGAAAGTGAAAAAAAATGTAAACAGCAATGCCTTAGTTGGCAAAAGCACAGAAAGAATGCATTGCTGGAAAACACCTATAGTTAATGCAAAGGTGAAACAAGAATGTTCACATGAATCAATGTTCATTAAGACCAGTTCACTACAGGTAAGTCCCCTTGCTGGTTTACTTTGTTTACTTCATACAGAATTGTGTAGATGACAGAGTGGTTTAGCCTCCAAACTGGTGAGAACTAGATTGGATTTCCTTCACTCATCTGCAAAGACTGACAACAAAACCACAGAGCAACATGTTAAATTGTCAGTCTGTAATAACAAGGACTCTATTTGTCTTGTGAAATTCTGTAATTCTAGTCCCTAGAACATGTTTGGGACATGGTATAGACCCAGGGGAAAAAAAACAAAAAAACTTTTGATCAATAAATGTTAAAGTAATGTGAAAAAAAAAACATGGGGGATATTTTTCTTTTAAAAATGTCTTAGACTCAAACATAGAATGTTACTGGGTCTTAGTCAACAATGGATATTTACAGCAATTAAATCAAACAGCTGCTGATTGTTATATAATTTGCAAATTTGACAACAGGAACCTTTTGGAATTGATACCATTTTTACTTTTGAAGGTCTAAGAAATAGATTTTTCAAATGAAAAACGGGAGTCGAGGAATCTACAAAAGTGAGTCTAAAGAAATACCAATAAAAAGTACTCAAACCTCTACCATAAAAATGTAAGAACGTCAACCACTTTAATTAAAAGAAGTGACTTTTCTTGGTAAAAGGACAGTTAATCTTTAAGTCCAGTCATTTTAATAGGCAAATTTGGCATATATCTGAGTTCACGATATAGTTTATAATAAGAAATAACAATTACTTAGCACTTAAGAGTTTGTGGAGTTTCTCAGAAAATTAACTCAGTAAATGACACCTATTTGGAAACAACCATGCTACCATGCATACCAAAAAATGCTACACAGACATCATGCTGCTGTTCAGTCCATCAATTTGGACTGAATCCCTACTATGTGCACAGCCCAGAGTCAGAAGTGCTGTGCTACCAGGATCAATGATGGTTCATCCATGATGGTGTTTGTACTCCAGCATTAACATTTTTCTGCTATCACCCAAATGAATACTGGCCTCTTTATGTGACATTTACTTATTGTGAATAAGTAAATAAGAGTATAGCAAATTGAGGATTACCTCACATTTATTTAGCAGCCCAGTTTCTTGCAGTCGTGACCAGATGCTCTGTATTCGTCCAGCATGCTCAGGGTGGGTGGTGGAATTGCCACAAATGCACTGGTGTTTCAGCATCAGAGGGTCGTAGGCAATTCCTTCAGGACAAAGAAAACACTCAAGACTGAGTAAGGATACAAGGTAATGACACAAGTTAGATGACAATATGACTATTCCAAAAAAGATATTCTTTTAAAAATAAATTTACAAATAGAGAAATAATACATATTTGCAAATTCCTAGCACATAAGAACTATTTAGTCCTGTGTATCTGGATATAAATGCAAAGAAGTTTAACCCACGATTAATCAGTACTCAGACCCTAGCTTAGTAAATCTGTAGTGATGAAGATGATATTTTAAGAAACTTCAGATTTTTTTTTAAAACTGTAATTTTACCAGTATCTTATGAAGTATGTTTAGACAGATAATTCAGTTAAGGTCAAAATTTTATCACTGAAGCCACAAAATAGGCTAACTCTTTAAATCATGAATTAATTTCATGAATAATTCTAGCTTCACTTTAGATCAGGCCTTGTAGTAAACTTTACAACTTTCAAGTTTTTACAAGAAAACTTTACAACTGCTTGCCTATTCTGCTTGGCAGGTCCTTCAGAGCTCTGCAGTTTCCTCCCTACTTATTGTGCTTTTCTCAAAATTTATGCCAATCTGTAAGCAATATGGATACTGTAGACCTTATAATGTTGTGGGACATTTGAAGGGTTTCTCTAAAAAAACGAGAAAGTAAAAAAAAAAAAAAAAAAGTGAATAAATTAATTGTACTACCTTCAGTAGAGATTCCACAGATAATTAATAAAATCTGCTTTTAAATTATCATGAGTTAACATATTTCATATTTTAGTTAGACCCTATGATGAGAAAGATTTTTAAAACTCTGATGAAACAAACTATTATGGATACATAAAATAGGGCTTTTTAAAGCAACAAAATAGATGAAAATTATAACTCTGGTTAATTCTGAAAAGATTTCTACCCTTAATCCAATTCCTTGGGGGAAAAACATGTTACTTACAAAACTGCCTGACATAAGAAATCATTTAACCAATCAAATATTCCAACAAATTACCATAGAAATACATTATCTGGGGGCATGGAGTGAGGGCAGAAGAACTCAAGATCAAAAGCAAAGGGCAAAAATAAGTATCTGTTCAAGAACAGGTAAAGACCAGTAATTTGTATTGTAAAGTAAGTTTAATTAATGCATTTTATTTACTTTTTAACTTACAATCTCATGTTAGAGGAATGTTACTCAAGAGGAGAAAATATTTATCTCTGAATATATTAAAATCATGCAGAATAATAACATTAGTATTTTGAAATGATGTGGTAAAAATTCTGTCTAAGAAAAAAAATGTTACTTTGCTGGTCCAAATAATATCCAATCCTAATACTCAAATGCCTTCAAAATACATCCCTATGCCACTGACTCACATTTTCATCATTAGTGCTGATCCCTCTTCTAAGCAGCACACTTGCACACTTGTCTATGCAACTGCCATCCAAAATCTCATTTGGATGTCTCATGGTTTTTATAAAGTGAGAATGTCTCAGATTTGAGTTCATGATCTTAAGCCATACACAGTGTCCCTCACTTAAGTAAAAGACATCATGAGCCACCGTTGCTCAAGCAAAAACCTCAGTATCCTCTGGACAATTCCTCTCCGAAAAACCAACAAATAGTGTTTGTTTTCCCTTCAAAATATAGCTTGAATCACTCAATTATCTCTAGCCCAAATCACACACAATCCAAGGTACTATTATCTCTAATCTGAACTCCTAAAGTCCTGTAACTGGCTACCTGACTTTATTCCATTTGCCACACCACAGCTACCTTTGTTTAAATCCTTTGATGACTCCACTGATAGACTATAATTTCTCAAGGCATAGATAGGCCCTTCCCCACTTCTTCAGCTTTATCTCATATACCTCCTCCCTTCATCTCTCTTTCTCCCACAAAAGCCTACCTTCCATTCTTCAAAACTATCAAAATCATACCATCCTTGGGATCTTCATACATGCTGTTCCATCTAAGACCAAAATTCTTCCTTCCTGTCCCCATAACTCCAGCCCTCATTTGGCTAATTCCTATTCACTCTTTAAGGCTAAATGAAGGTCTCTAAATTAGATCTCCTACTTTATGTTGTCATAGCATCCTCTAGGTCTTCAGAGCATTTATTACAATTATATAATTGTATAATCTTGTTAATTGTACATTTTCTTCACTATCTGTTGAGATCTATGAAAGTAAAGACTAGAGTTACATTATTTACCTCTGAACTCTTAGCATCTATATACATGCTTGGAATACAATAGGTCCTCAAAAGTATTTTTAATGAAATAAAGGAACAAATGTAAGAACTAGAGCACTTATCTCCATTATAAAGTCTTCCTTAATGAACCTAACTGGTAGAACTTCTGGGAATCCTGAAGTTTTTGTAGGCTTACTTCTTTAGTATTCAATCTTTTATTTTATATGCCTTACCTTCCTACGGGCAAGTGCCTCTGTTACAGGTATTTAAGTTACTCAGCTTTGTATCTCTGCATGGCATTTTGCACAAAAAGATGAATAAATATTTTTTTTAAGATTTTATTTATTTATTGGACAGACAGAGATCACAAGTAGACAGAGAGGCAGGCAGAGAGAGAAAGGGAAGTAGGCTCCCTGCTGAGCAGAGAACCTGATGCGGGGCTTGATCCCAGGACCCCGAGATCACAACCTGAGCCAAAGGCAGAGGCTTAACCCACTGAGCCACCCAGGTACCCTATGAATAAATATTTTAAAATAAAGTCAAAAGATGGGGCCTGGGTGGATCAGTTAGTTAAGGGGCTGCCTTCGGCTCGGGTCATAATCCCAGGGTCCTGGGAACGCGCCCTGCATTGGGCTCTGTGTTCAGTGGGGAAACACTTCTCCCTCTCCCACTCCCTTGCTTGTGTTCCCTCTCTCACCATCTCTCTCTCTGTGTCAAATAAATAAATAAAATCTTTAAAAAAAAAAAAAGTCAAAAGGAAGTAAAAAAAAAAAGTCAAAATTTACCATTTTTTTTTTCCTTTCTGGTGCTTTTTATTTAACTCAAGAAACTAGAAGGCAGAGCATAAAGTATCACAAATGCATACAGAAAATGAATCATGTTCTTTTCTTTTAGTGAGGGCTGAAGGGGGTCCCGTTGACATTTTATCCGTGCCCCTTCATGGATCGTAAGCAAAACGTTCTCCAGTTTGCTCTCAAGTGCAGCAAACGCACCAAATAGGGCTCTGCCTCACACGCGTAGAGGTTAGCGACTGCGTTTTAACATTGGATATTTATCTTGGGACCCCGTCAGATACTTTGCACTCTTGTTAATAACTAAATCTATGAATAACTTTCAGTAACTACATGCTTAGTTTTCTTGCCTAATTCTTGACAGAACTGCAAGGCAGTGGTTTCTCTTCTTTTGCAGCTAGTCTTTGTCTTTCCTCCTGAGATTGAGAAGATTTAAAGGTCCCATTATTACCGTAAGTATTTCTGCATTTCCCGAAGCATTTAACAATCTATAGAACTCTTACATAAGGAAACGAAAAAATGAATAGGGAGCTTGTTGCCAGAAGCAAAAGGAACTGATCTTTTGACAGTGACTTGAAAACTACCAAGGACAGTGACTTCAGCTTCCACCAACATTTCTCCAGGCTACGTATTACTGTTTATGATTCATCTTTTGTAAGCAACATATCACTGCAGTCTTTCCAAAAGGATGCCCACTGTTTGCAGCATAGATTCTGAAAAGCTGAGAGAGATTCGAAAGGGAGATATTTGCTAATATGTTCTGTGAGATTGTGGTGGAACAAGCACTCTCTACCTTGTTAGTGTAAAAATTAGATTACTTTTGGAGGAAAATTGGTGATATCTGTCCAAATTTTAAATATATAACTTCTGCCCCAGGAATGCTGCTGCTCAGAATTTATGTGCAGATGTGTCAGTGCAGGATAAGGTATCTATGAGGAATTCAAGTCCCTCACTAAGGAAAAGGCAGAAAGGCAGAAAAGGCAGAAGAGAAAATAGGCAGTTACAAAAAGTAACATTCAAAATTTAAAGATATATAAGACATGTCTTTGCAATTCAGATACATCAAGTATGTAAGTTGCTATGACATAAGAGGAACTGTTCAATACATTTTCTTCCATCCTTTCTCCCTCCCTCCCTTTCTTTTTTCACCATGATAAGTGTACTCTTTAATCCCTATCACCTGTTTCAACCATTTTCCCCACCAACCTCCCCTCTGGTAACCATCAGTTTGTTCTCTATAGTTAAATCTGTTTCTTGGCTTGTCTTTTTTTTTTTTCCTCTTTTCTTTCCTTTGCTTGTTTGTTTTGTTTCTTAAATTCCACATATGAATGAGACCACAGTATTTGTCTTTCTCTGACTTATTTCGCTTAGCATTATACTAGCTCCATGCTAGTTGTAAATAGCAAGATTTCATTCTTTTTATGCTGAATAATATTCTATTGTATATATATATATTCAATGTATATATATCTATATACAATATACTATACCATGTATATATGTATTCAATATATATATATACACAATATATACAATATATATTCAATGACCATATATATATGTGTGTGTGTGTGTATACATATATACATATAAATATATACGTATATATGTATATACATATATACGTATATATATATACATATATGTCCCTGTGGCAAGGCTACTGGGGGAACAAGATTGGCAAGCCCCACACTGTCCCGTGTAAGGTGACTGGCCACTGTGGCTCTGTGTTGGTGCGTCTCATCCCCGCCCCCAGAGGCACTGGCATTGTCTCCGCCCCTATGCCCAAGAAACTGCTGATGATGGCTGGTATCAACGACTGCTACACCTCGGCCAGGGGCTGCACTGCCACCCTGGGAACTTTGCCAAGGCTACTTTCGATGCCATCTCCAAGACCTAGAGCTATCTCACCCCTGACCTCTGGAAGGAGACTGTGTTCACCAAGTCTCCCTATCAGGAGTTCATGGACCATCTTGTGAAGACCCACACCAGAGTCTCTGTGCAGAGGACCCAGGCTCCAGCTGTGGCTACCACATAG